CTTAAATAAATAAATATAATATAATATAATAATAATTGTAACTACCCATATCTGCAGTGCAGATATTATCCTCTACGTGCATTCCCTCGAGGCTTTAAAACTCTTCTACTAGTAGAAGATTTCCACACCCTTTAAAACTCTTCTACTAGTAGAAGATTTCCACACCCTTAGAAATGATGGTTTGTTCTCCCACCAACCAATGTCCTTCTCAATGGTTTCCACACCCTTATAAATGGTGAGAATGGTGGTTTGTTCTCCCTCAGCCAATGTGGGACATCACAATCCGCCCCTTATAAATGGTGGTTTGTTCTCCTCCCCCAACCAACAATCCACCCCTTGAGCCCAGTGACACAATCGCGCTTTCGAAGGCAGCGGACTAGTGATTGTGCGGCACTCACTTTCCAGCGACAAGAGAGTTAAGCCAAATTGTTCTTGCGTCGCCTACGGCCAAGCGACGTACGGTCGAGCCTCTAGCCTCGGTTTTAAAAGAAGGTTTTAGAAAACGAGGAGAGAGAGAGATTTTAGAAAGAGAGATTTAGAAAGAGACGTTATATAAGCAAGCAAGAGAAAGATAACAACGGCTTAGCATATATAACCTTGGGTAGGGAGAAGTTGACGACTAGTCATATCCCCTGTAGTACATTCTGGGCCATTTTAGTTCTGCCAGGCCTAGACATATATTTTTGAGGTGTCTCTAGAATTACAAAAGGAAAAACACTAGAATGAAAAGACATGACAAGGGTTTGGCTTGTCATGGGCATGCGGCCATAGGCAACATGCCCTGGACAAGCATGACCGTGACACCCAGCATCCTTGCCGACACTCTTTCCTTCCTTTAATCGATGTGAGACTGTCCCCAAATCCACCATGTTCTTCTCCCCAACCAACAATCCACCCCATGGACCTTCCTTCCTCGCTGTCACTCTTTCCTTCCTTTAATCGATGTGGGACCGCCCCCAAATCCACCCCCAACCAACAATCCACACCCTGGGCCCAGCATCCTCGCTGACACTCTTTCCTTCCTTTAATCGATGTAGGACTGCCCCCAAATCCACCTCCTTTGGGCCCAGTGTCCTTACTGGCACACCGCTTCGTGTCTGTCCCCTTTGGAGAACAGCGAGAAGGCTGACAATCGTTCGGTGTTTGGCTCTGATACCATTTGTAATGACTCAGATCCACCGATGTTAGATATTGTCCTCTTTGGGCTTCCCCTCAAGGTTTTAAAACGCGTCTGCTGCTAGGAAAAGGTTTCCACACCCCTTATAAAGAGTGGTTTGTTCTCTTCCCCAACTAATATGGGACATCACAATAATAATAATAATTTATACTAATAACTCCTCCCAACTAATATGGGACATCACAATAATAATAATAATTTATACTAATAAGTATTATAAATTTTGAGTTAAATGGTAACTTAAAAAAGAAATAGACTTTTTGAAAGTTGAAGGATATTATTAAATTGGGTGTTTCTCATACAAACTATATATTAGTTTTAAATGAAACAAGTAGAAGGTGGAAGGTGATCAAAGAAACGTCGGGTCATTTCTCCAAAGTTGACGAAAGAAAAGCTTCGAGCTTTTTCAATGGCGCAAGCCTCTAAAGTTCATTGATTTCTGAACTTTTACGAACCACTTCAATTTTTTTTTTTTTTTTGAGATGTTAATGTGAGTTGTTTGATTCATTAGAGGGTGTCTTCTCCTCCAATTCTTGTGTGAGTAATTTGATGGAGTCCGAAAGTTCAGCTTTGTATACATAATATTTTGAAACGACGAGAAAGAAGATGAAGTTTAAGCAGTTGAGAATGGTGAAGAGGCCGTAATAGTAGTCGAGATGGGATTCGTTCAGGTTGTTGAGGATCCACCCTTTTCTCCCATTGCGGCTCGTGATGTTGGAAACTGTTTTGAGAAGTACGCTACTGAGGAAATTCCCGATCCCGATTGATGTCGACGAGTAGGATGCCCCGATGCTCTTCATACTCTCTGGGGCCTGTTAAGAACGTTAAGAATATGATTCAATTTATAATTACTCATCTATAAAAAAAATACGAACAAAATCATTGTGGAAGGAGATGTTAGGAATCACGGTTCTCATGGCTTTGCTTTGGGCTTCCCAAAAGACATCATACCAATGGAAAGAGTATTCTTGGTTTATAAACCCATGATCATTCCCTAAATTAGCCGACGTGAGACCTTCATCATCTAACACCTCCCCTCGAACAAAGTGCATCTCCCCTTAATCGAGGCTCGACTCCTTTGGAGTCTTAGTCATTTTTTAATGCCTTCGATGAGGTTTGACTCCTTTTTCTTTTCGAGTCTTTTGTTCGATGTTTGAGGATTTACCAATCTATTGGCACGACTAAGTTTAGGGCATAGCTCTGATACCATGTTAAACGAACACGACTCTCCACAATAGTATGGTATTGTCCACTTTGAGCATAAGCTCTCATGGCTTTGCTCGTCTAACAGCTTTGATTTGGACTTCCCCAAAAGACCTCATACCCTTTGTTCGATCTTTGTGACCTACCTGATCGTAGAAGAACTCAATCTTGGTGACCTCGACGAAGGCATCGGCAATCCCCATGAGAATAAACTGCGGCATCAAGATGAAGATACTCAACGGAACTTGGCCGCCACTCTCTACAACACCGTGCTCTCTCGCTGCCGCTAATCGCCGCCGCTCAACCAAAGCACTGACAAACATGATCACAGCATGGACGACGATCCCAGTTCCCATTCGTTGTAGCAGAGTGATCCCTCTTGGGTTCTTGGTGAATTTCCTCATCATCTTGACGAAGATTCGGTCGTAAATTACGATGCTGATGAGTAGTGAAATGGTGATGAAGGCATTCAAGCTCGCCGGTGGGATGCTGAACTTGCCAATTTTTCGATCCAGAGTGGTGCCCTGTTTAATGAAAAGAGTGTTGGATTGAGCCAACATGATACTCGGGATAATGGTTGCGATGAGAATTGGGATCATTCGGATCATTTGCTTTGTTTCTTCCACTTCGGTTACTGTGCATAGCCGCCATGAATCGGTTGAACCAGTTTGGATCGAAGCTTTGTTGAGGAAGCTGAGGGAGAACAAATGAAGAGACTATTAAAAATCACGACTTTCCATAATGATATGATATTATCCACTTTATTTTAGTCTTCTCAAGATGTATTTTTTACTTATAAATGCATGATCATTCCCTAAATAAGTCAATGTGGGACGAGTACTCTCTACCTCAAGGTGGGAGTGGCCTCCATCCTAAACTTCTTCTTCTTCCTGTACTCTTCCAAGTCCAACTCATACAGCTCCTTAGCCTCCTTGGGCAGCGGCAGTTTCCGCTTCTTGATGGCGGCGATAAAAACCTTAACCATCCGAGTAAAGGGACTTCCGGCGGGAACCTTGTGGCGGTAGAATGGAGTTCCGGCGATAAAAATAGCAATAGAAATGGCAAGGCCAGCAGTTGGAAGGGCATAACCAAGCGTCCACCCAATGTTTTCTTGAATGTAAACAAGGATTATGTTGGCAAAAAAGCCGCCAAAGAAAATTCCGAACATCCACCAGTTGAAAAATGATATCTTTTGGTGCTTCTCCTTCGGGTGAAAGTCGTCGAACTGGTCCGCCCCGATCGTCGAGATGTTTGGCTTCGTGCCTCCCGTGCCGACCGCTAAGATGTAGAGTGCACCAAAGTAGAACCCAAGCTGCAGCGCAGAGGGCTTGTCGCAGTGGCCGACGGTTGGTTGGGGGCACAATGGCGGCTTTAGCGACGGGATTGAGACGGCCATTGTTAGAAAGGACATTCCCTGTATATTAACCATGTTAGTGTGAATTCTTAAAATAATTCAATTTCAAAAGTTTCATTAATACCGGTGATTCGCACAAAATTTAAAAATAAAACTAAATTTTAAAAGTTAATACAAAAAAAAAAAAGAGAGGACGTACCATTAAGTAGACAACCGAAGCAGCCATGAAGGTCCAAAAGCGACCTAGATAGGCGTCAGCAATATAAGCACCCAAAACAGGAGTCATCCAGACAACCCCAACCCAGTTTGTGACATTGTTAGACGCCGTAACAATGCCTTGTTGTAGTCTAACCGTCAAATATATCACTAAGTTCGAAGATATCCCATAAAACGCCATCCTTTCGAACACTTCATAAACTGTTCACAACACCCATATTTCTTTTTTAACCAACACTATCTTACAAATCAAATTCAAACTTACAGTATAAACCAAAAGTAAGTCAAATTCACACTATATAACTATTACGCTCATTTCTCATGATTTATCGTGTAAATTTCTATAAACCCACGTGAACTAAAACACGAAATCGAGGATCGAGAGAAGCGTATCGAGATCGAAAGAAAGAAAGGAGAGGAATACCTATAATAAAGGAGCAAGCTTTCCAGCCACCCCTCTTGGAGCGACGAACAGGGTTGCCCTTGAGATCCACAGTCCCATCCTGTGTGTAGTCATCAGCAACGCCTTCGATAGCCATCACCAAATCTCTTGCGGCACAACAACAAAAGTTGATAAAAAATTCATAGCCCAATTTTGCATTTATAGAAAAAAAAAGATTATAAAAAATTAAAAAGACAGACAGGAAATTACTGTTTTGTCTTGTACTTTCCTTTTGTGGATAATTGTAACTTCCCTCATTAAAGCTTTCTTAAATTACCATTTTGACCCTTACCCATAAATTCATTCCCCACCTAACCACGTCCTATAAATATTTGCCAAAACTCATAAAGATATTGAAATTTATTTATAAACAAACATCCAAACCAAAATGTTGGGGAAAAAAAAAATTAAAAATTCATTTTTTTTAAAGGAATTTGACTTTATTTTAATTTTGGGTGAATTATAAATTTCTTCGTGTCACGGTTTGTTTTTTTAGTTGCACGAGGGAGAATAATTTTCATACCCGATTCAGTAAATTTACAATTTTTGTTTGTTCGATGGTTCCTCTTGTTTGTAGAACGAAATGGAAGTAAAATAACCGCTAACCATTTTGGTTTAAAAAACTAGATTTACTATGCGTGGATAAACTATATAATCATATTATTTGCACGATTGTAAATTAAATGAAGAAACAAGTACAAGTTTAGAGCTTCTTCGATGGCGAAAGTCTCTAAAGTTCATTGAAGATGTTAATATGGGTTGTTTGATTCTTTTGATGGAGCCTTCTCTTTCAGTTCTTCGGAGAGTAATTTTATGGAGTCTGAAACTTCGGCTTTGTATACGTAATACCTTGAAACGAAGAGGAAGAAGATGAAGTTTAAGCAGTTGAGAATGGCGAAGAAGGCGTAGTAGTAGTCGAGATGGGATGCGTTTAGGTTGTTGAGGATCCACCCCTTTCGCCCATTGCGGCTTGTGATGTCGGAAACTGTTGCTAGAAGGAAGCTACTGAGGAAATTACCGGTCCCGATTGCTGTCGTTGAGTATGATGTCCCGAGACTCTTCATACTCTCTGGTGCCTGATGTTAAGAATGTGGATAAATGATTAAATTTATAACGATTGAGTTATGACTAAATGGATTAAACGAGACTTACTTGATCGTAGAAGAATTCAATTTTGGAGACCTCCATGAAGGCATCGGCAACCCCCATGAGAATAAACTGTGGCAGCAAGATGAAGATACTCAACGGAACTTCTCTGCCACTCTCAACAACACCGTGCTCTCTCGCCGCCGCCAATCGCCGCCGCTCAACTAGACAGCTGACAACCATGATCAAGGTATGGAGGACAATCCCAGTTCCCATCCGTTGTAGTAGAGTGATCCCTCTTGGATTCTTGGTGATTTTTCTCATGATCTTGACGAAGAATCGGTCGTAAATTACGACGCTGACGAGCAGTGTAGCGGTGACGAAGGCGCTCAAGCTCGCCGGTGGGATTTTAAAGTTGCCGACTTTTCGATCCAGAGTAGTGCCCTGTTTTATGAACAGAGTATTGACTTGAGCCAACATGATGCTTGGGACAAAGGTTGCGAATAGAATTGGGATCATTCGAATCATTTGCTTTGTTTCTTCCACTTCGGTTACTGTGCAGAGCCGCCATGGATCGGTTGAACCCGTTTGGATCGAAGCTTTGTTGAGTAAGCTAAGGGAGAACAAAAGAAGAGACCGTGAGCTAATAAAGTAATTCTAATAGAACAAGTAACTTAACTTATACCGTAACTTTATGAGAATGGTTAGTGTTTTCTTTTACTTGTTTCGATATATTTCGATCGTGGGTCACATTCCAACATACCTCAAAGTAGGAGTGGCCTCCATCCTAAACTTCTTCTTCTTGGTGTACTCTTCAAAGTTCCACTCATAGAGTTCCTTAGCGTCCCTCGGCAGCGGCAGTTTCCGGTTGTTGATGGCGGCGACAATAACCTTAGCCATCCGAGTAAAGGGGCTTCCGGCGGGAACCTTGTGGCGGTAGAAGGGAATTCCGACGAAAAAAATACCAATAGAAACGGCAAGGCCAATAGTTGGAAGGCCATAACCAAGGGTCCACCCAATGTTGTCTTGAATGTAAACAAGAATTATGTTGGCAAAAAGAGTGCCAAAGAAAATGCTGAACATCCACCAGTTGAAAAATGATAGCTTTTGCTTCTTCTCCTTCGGGTGGAAGTCGTCGAACTGGTCCGCCCCGATCGTCGAGATGTTTGGCTTCGTGCCGCCCGTGCCGACTGCCAAGATGTAGAGTGCACCAAAGTAGACGGCAAGCTGCAGCGTGGAGGCCTTCTGGCAGTGGCCGGAGTTCGGCTGGTCGCACGATGGCGGCCTTAAGGTTGGAAGGGAGACAGCCATTGTAAGAAGGGACATGCCCTGTGTGTTAACAACGTTAGTATTCCAACATGTTGTAAGAGGGAAAACAATAATAAAATTTATAAAAAAAAAAAAAAAACATATTATTTTCTTTTTTACAAAGAAAAAAACAGTGTTTACTTCAATATTATTTTTTAATCCAAATATTTAAAATAAATTAATATAAATACTCCCATTATCTAAAAAAATATGTTTTTTTAGCTTTCATTCAATAATTATACTCTTAAATCTAAAAAGTTGAAAAATAGTTTTATAGCTAGTTTTGGTTTAAAACTAATTTATTTTTAAAATATCCTTAAATTAAAAAAAATTAATTTAAAAATTACTTTTTTTAAAAAAAATTAAGAGTATTAATAACATAAAGTAATAATTATTTCATCCAAAACTAAAGGTTTGTTTTTAAATTAGAATATTAAAGATATTATTTTTTAAACATACAAATTTAAGTATTTTTATTAATTTACCCTAAATATTATATATATATATATATATATATATATATATATATATATATATCTATTAATAACATATATTATTAAAAATTAGTTCTAAAAAAATATAAATATCTTAAACTATTAAAAAGTTAGTTGAAAAGATTGGGAAAAGGTAAAATTTTCAAACAAGTTGGTTAAAATAAAAAAATTAGATTCCAAAAGATTCTTAAAACTCTTAATTTTAAGTCTCTTTAATCCCAAAAGCTAAAGGTTGATTTTTTAGGCCAATTATAAGCTTGAAAAGTGCACAAACAAGATGATGGACCAAATATTATTAAATTATAAATAAATAAATTAATTAAAAAGTTTCTCGAGTGCTTAAAAAATTTAATGACTCGAAAAATCTAATAAATCAAATCTGATTCGTACCGTTTGGAATGACTTACGAATTTATTTGAATTGAGTTGAGTTTAATTAATTGTTCGTGGGAATCTCTAAAATTAGATTAAGTTCAATTAATTTTATATTATGCACGCTTATACAATTCTATATGTATATATTTATTTAATTTTGTAATAAATTAAAATAATCCGAACCAATCTGGTTAAAAATTTTACTATGCAAACAATTGGGTCGAGTCTAAAAAATGTTCAAACTCGATCGAACTCAACCCACAAACACCTCTATTTATTTTCAGTAAAATAATATCGGAAAGAAAAGATTCGAATCTTTAATTTTTAAATTAAATATATATTTTAACTTATATTGATAGCTCATGTTAGTCAAAAGTGAGAGTGATTGAATAAAACATTTTAGTAAAAAATTGAGGAACAAGACAAGATTCATAGTCAACATTTGTGACTAAATTATTGGTTCCTTATTATCGGTGGTGTCCGAATTCCAATAAATAAATAAATAATAGAAAAAGCAATCACGACCGTAGATATTTCACATAATCCAATATTCAATAATTCAACCTCAATTTTTAAATTTTAAAAAGTTTAATAATTAATAAGTTTCCCTAGGCTTGTGATTCTCTTAAGACTATTTTATTTTTATTTGCATTATGGTCCATTTAAAAATTGATATTTCGTACGAACGAATATAACTTGTTCTTATCTTTTTCTTTTAACATGATATTAATGTTCTTAATTGATGGTTTGGAAGCTTGAGATTGTTGTTCTTGATGAATCGAGTCATTCAGTTAGCTCTCGTTTGTTGGTTCTAATATTTTAGAAAGAAAATAACGGGAAAGAGATGACTTACTGATAAGTAGATAATTGAGGCGATGATGAAGGTCCAGAAGCGACCGAGATAGGCATCAGCAACATAAGCACCCAAGATAGGAGTCATCCAAACAGCCCCAACCCAATTCGTGACATTGTTGGATGCTGTAACAGTGCCTTGGCCGAGTCTAGTCGTCAAATATATCAATAAATTCGAAGATATCCCATAAAACGCCATCCTTTCAAATACTTCATATACTGTGTAACAAAACCCATGTTTCTGTTTCTTAAAAATCGAACTTAAAATACTAAAAAAACGAAAAATTTTAGTACTATGAGAATATGTTTACACTACTACCATGTGTCCTATCTAACTCCAAAAAGCATTTCAACTTTAGCCGACTTTTAGACCGAGCTAGGTTTGTCATGTGACGTGCTGAACTAAAGCCTCTAGTGTTTGTCTAGCTACATAATTCATGAAAGAGAAAAAAAGATATTGGTTCGATGTGAAATATGAACCAACCATCATGAGTAGATAAGATACTCCACCAAAAGGAAGTGTAATGACCCAAACCGACTGCTCGTAGTTAATTTTTTTGGTGTTTTTTTCCAAATTTTTAAAACACGTTTGTTAGGGAGAGATTTTAATCGAAACCCGAGTTTAAATTCATGCTATATAACTGTACGACGATCTAAAACATAATGAACAACATCGCACTTCAAGATTGGTAGCGTAAATTTCTATATTGGCACCTAAGTTCTAACACGAAAGGGAGAATCGAGAGAAACGTTTGAGTAAAGGAGAGAAGTACCAACGACGAAGGAGCAAGCTCGCCAGCCACCCCTCTGGGAGCGACGAACAGGGTTGCCCTTGAGATCCACAGTCCCATCCTGTGTGTAGTCATCGGCAAGGCCTTGTTCGACAGCCATGGTTGTCTGTCTTCTAATTGTGAGCCTCTTATGGTGCTGTGCTGTGCTACACACATACTCAATTCATACCCCAAATTTGCATTTATAGACAATCAAACAAGTGGGAACCAAAATGGAGAGAAAAAGAACAGACATTTACTGTTTTGTTTTGTTATTTTCCTTTTTGTATATTAATTAATTTCTCTTATTAAAATCTTTGTTAAATGACCCTTTTGACCTTTCACCTACCCAAGCTCTGCCTTTGCTATAAAACCTAAGAAAGTAAGTTACTATGTGTATGTATATGAAAGGGAGTAAAATGAGAGAAGCTTGAAGATGGGTATTTATTTTTTCTTTTTTCTTTTTTTGGTGAAAACAAATTCATTTAAAAAACCAACCTAGAAAGAGAGTCGTTTTTCTGGAAGAAACCCAATTTGAAAAACACGTGAATTAAAAGACGAGATTGTCTACCAGTGAGGAAGAATCAAAGTTTGTAGAAGACGAAGCGACAAAAGGAAGCAAATATTGAGAAATGAGTGTGGTATGAGTAACACCTTAAACCCATTAGTTATTGTCTGCTTTGGTTCATTACGTATCTCTTAAATTTTAAAACGCATCTATCAAGAGGTTTATAAGGAATCTTTGTTCCTCTCTTCAAACGATGTGGGATCTCACAATCTACTTCCTTGGAGGCTCAATGTAACGACCCACATCCACCACTAGCAGATATTGTCCGTTTTGGCACGTTACATATCGCTATCAGCCTCACAGTTTTAAAACTCGTCTACTAAAAAGAGATTTCCGAGCTCACAATATTTAAGAACTTGATAACTTGATAGTGATCCTTCTCTCCTTTCCTCTACTTAGAAAAAAAAGGTATTTGTTTTGGATAATATCAAAACTTGAAGTGGTTGGTTCTTTTTTGTTTAAATATTGTCCATTCCAAGTGGGTATTCCAAGGAAAGATTCGATTGTTTGGGACTGGACGTTTCTCAAAGCATGAACAAAGATAAAAGTTAGGTTAATTACTTTGATCTTTGAGTCCGAGATACCCATACGCATGAACGAACTTGACCTTCGAGTCCAAGATACTCATATGCATGAACAAACTTGATTTATGAGTCCGAGATATCTATATACATGAATGAACTTGATCTTCGGATCTGAGATACCCATATGCCTTCGAGTAGAGATAACTACATGTACGAACAAATTTTTGTACTACATGAACAAGTTAAAATAAATTTAAAAGCTATTTTCTACGTGCACTTGACTTAGAAGGTCACATGTTTATATCCATGACTTCTGTTAGATGATGAAAGTCACACATCCGCTAATTTAGGGAATGATCATGAGTTTATAATCAAAGAATACTCTCTCCATTGGTACGAGGCATTTTGGAAAGCTCAAAGCAAAGACATGAGAGCTAATACTCAAAGTAGACAATATCATACTATTGTGGAGAGTCGTGTTCGTCTAACATGGTATCAGAGTCATGCTATTAGCCAATAAATTGGTAAATCCTCAAGTATCGAACAAAGGATTATTGATGTCAGTTTCATAACGATATCATTTTTACTTTCTTGTATTTAAAAAATCGTGCTCGTTTGTATACCATTTATACCGTTTCTTCGCTCTTGTTTTTAATTTTTCTGGCCAAACGTTAAACTTCTTATCTAAACTTCAAAACCCGAAACAAATTTAAATTTTATTTTTTGAATTTCTCAAATATTGACTTCGAATTTTGAAAATGACTTATAATTATATGAACGAAATTAACTAAAATTGAAAGTACGAGCACTAAAACATATTCAAAGGTGAGAGGATGGGCAGATATTTGATCTGTAGGACCAAAAATTAAAGTATTGAAAAGTCAGAGGCGCATGCAGCTGTACCGGACGAAGGCGGGGCCAGCGCGGCCATTGGGCTGCCTAAATGGGCTCCACACCACACTACCCTCACTCCATCCCGCCCTTTCATAGCACATAAGACTTTTTTTGTGCCTTTTTTTTGTCAAATTTTTTTAAAAATGTGTTTAATGCATTTTTTAACCAATAATTTATAACTATATATATATATATGTTTATGGAGAAGATTAGAACGGGACGAATCTTTCTAATGATCATAGGACGTTATGTTTTGAGATGTTTTTTTGCTCGAGAACAAGTTTGCAAGCCCCTTAGATCAAAGCCTACATTAAACGCTTTGAAGAAATTCGAAACTGGAGCGTTTGTCATGGTGAATTTCATTGTGGAAAATTTAGGGTTTGACAATGTCCATTACGACGATTGATGCAAGCATCGTGAAGGAAAGCTTAAAAAAAAAGAAGAAAAAAAAAAACTCAACGTGATGCTAAAGATAATGGAAGAAAGAGACTATTAAATTGTATCTTTCGAGAATCAGGTTGAAAGTTAGATGTTGCTGAATCGAGCCAAACCCTTATTATATTCAACTTTAATTGGTTCGTTGTTTGTCCAATAGCTCCAAGAAATAATCATGAATTCTTTAAGAGAGTAATATGAAAAACCTGTTCATAACTTTATTTTGTAATTCAAGCCATATATTAGGAGGATTCACAGCCTAAGAATGTCGAGTGGATATCAGCCACCAAAGTTTCAACAATTTCGATGGGATGGACTATTAATTGAAAGTTTGGAGCTTTTCAACTTCTATAGTACACGGGAAATAGTCGGCACGCTTATAATGAATGTTAGTGCCCGAAAGGAAAATAGGGTCTAGCCTCTCCGACTAGTGCCCTCACACCGTTCGGTAACTGGCTCTGATACCATTTGTAACCGTTCAAACTCACTGCTAGTAGATCAGGTCTAAGCCAACCACGATACAAAAATATATCACAATGAATGAACTACTAAATAGTAGATCAGTTATTCAAAGCTTTAACAAAGGTGGCTAACGAGCAATCGACCCGATGAGTTTAAAAGAACCAACCAACTTTAAAGCAATCTAGAAAGGGAAAAGAAAGGACAAATAAAGAAAAGGGCAAATTGAATGTTTAGAAGTGAAAGGTTGGGAACCGCATAATATGGAGTCGTAATCATTTAGGGTTTCAACCAAAAATTTCTTCAAGTCTCCATCACCTTTGACAACTCCCTACCACCTTTGTTATTGGAACCTTTTTTAGGGAAGCAATTGACACTTATTGGCTCCACTCTTTCAATTTTCTTCTCCCTTCTTTTTTTTTTGGTTAGTCAAAAGGAATCTTCCATCAAATATGGGTTTTTGAAACACGAGCCACTCGGAACATTTCGGACGGTGGTCTGGAGGTCATGATTGGTTAAGAAAACATACTTGAGTCATTTCAGATATTGCCATCTTTGTGCTTTTCCCTTTCGGACTTTCCCTCCAGAGTTTTAAAACGCGTCTACTAGAGAGAGGTTTCTATACCCTTATAAAAAATGTTTCGTTCTCCTCCCGAACCGATGTGAGATCTCACAATTCACCCCCCTTTTGAGTCTAGTGTTCTCATTAACGCTCGTTCCCCTCTCCAATCAATGTGGGATCTCACAATCCTTTCAAGGCCCAACGTTCTAGCTGACACTCATTCTTCTCTCCAACCGATGTGAGATCTCACAATCTACCCACCTTCAGGGCCCAGCGTCCTCGTTGGCACATCGTACGATGTTTGACTTTGATACTATTTAAATTTTAATGCTCTCTTTAGGTAATCTGGAAGCCTGGAAGTCTTATGCACGAACCTAATCAATTTTGCTATGGTAGATTATAAATTTTTTAATTGCATTCTTGTCGAGATTCTCTTGTCATTTACTGGATATCTAGCTATAATAGATTTATCTGTGACAAATTACAGGGGTATTATTGAATTTTTTAGAAAAATTAAATTACAGCTAATAAATGTATTTAAGTTCATACCATGAATGCACAACTAAAAGAATTACAAGAAAATATAATATAAAAAATAAAAAATAATGTGTTAATTAATTTAAAATACTATATTTGCAAGTTATATTTAAAATTACAATAAATCTTTAAAAAAAAAAACCATTTGTCCTAGATAAGTCATTCATGACAAATTCTGACATTGGGTTACTAGGTTTACTGTTATTGGGCCTCAAGCCCACGTTTCCAAAAGTATTTATCGGGCCCAATATTTCTGGTTTGTAAGCCCAACTAAGTCATTCATGGCTCACACTCTCCTAAGCCCAATAAGGCCCAATATTTTTTGTTTTCTAATAATTTTATTTCAGGAAGAGAAAAACAGGGTGTCCAAATATTACATTTTTTTTTCTTAAATATTAATAAATATGGTTCGTTATTTATTTATTTATTTTATTTAGAAAAAACTTGACTTACGAATTTTACACGAGAAATTTTAATTTAGTCGACTATAATTAATATCACATCTCAAAAATACTCATCAATTTTTCAAATTAATATTAAAACGTCTGCAAATAATCTATGAGATGTCAATAAATAGACCATAATTCATTTTAATTTTTTTAGGTCCTAGTATTAAAATTTTGTGGGTATTTTTTTTTCCTTTTTAAGAATTGAAAATTATTAATATATTTTTTTTAATTGAGTACTTTTGAAACATAAAAAGTTCAAGTCTTAAAAGGGTATTTTTGAAACAAATTATTTATATTTTCTATCCAAAAATGAATGTATTTTTAAATTTTTAAATTTTTTAAAAAATATTATTAAAAAATAAGATTTTAGACACATAAACTAAAATTAATTAAAAATTTTGGGGGATAAAAATAATTTATGAATGATTGGTAAAATTAACCTAAATTAAAATTGAAATAATATATAAGCTATAAATTATAATTTAAAATTTGTAATAGTAAAAGAAAATTGTATGGATAATTGATTTAAACGATCCACGCGGCGGGTGAGTTGGGGAGGGAGAGATCGTTCCACGACGGCGAGTGACTGCGCACTGAAATTGCAGACAAAAAAACCCTCAATTTTCTTTCCCACACCAAACCAAACCCTGAATTTAGGTTTTTTCTCCTTCTCCTTCCCGCGTTCTCTTTCGAGATTGCCTCAGAAGCTGCAACTGAGATCTGTCCCTTCGCCATCGCCGCTTTCGCATTTCTACTTTCATTCCCGCCTTCTATC